TATATTGTGGAACAAAATGAGCGGGAGGTGCTTGTAGATTGCACTGAACAGTTTTATTTGGAATATTAAGACAACGAAGCAGAAGCCGAGCACCAAGAGTGAAACTAATTCAAATAAACATGTTATACTGGAAATGGACAGAACAGACGTGGTTTACACGGGCCGCGGGTTCTGATGGGTTTCCTGTGATCCGTCAGAACCAGCTCCCATCATGCCTCAGCACCAACCACAGCATGTGCACGTACAGCGTTAAAGTGACGGAGGCGTGCGACCTTCGGTAAACTACTTTGTTGCATATCGGGACAGAAACTGCATCAAGTTCTTCAGCCGGAACATAAAACCCAGTCCAAGATCTGGGACCTGAGGCCCCTCCTGATGCCAGGGCAGGGGTTCTGATCCTGTGGTCCGTGTGTCCTGGTTCTGGGTGGGGTGGGTGGTAGAAGAAGCACAGACTGAGCACCACAGAAGAAGATATTCCTTCAGACTCGACAGGTTTACAGGTACTTCAGGTGAGCCTGCAGGTGATGTCACACGACCCAGGAAGAACCAGGAGTCTGAACCTCACCGGGCCGACACGTCTTGATTTTAAGAAAAAGTCCTAAACGAGTCCAGATTCAGCACCGATCTGAGGCCTGGCACGCTGTAACCATACTACAACTCCCATCATGCATCAGTCCTGTCAGAGGTCCAGTCCAGTTCTCCAGGTGTGAAGCTCTGACCACAGACCTGCAGGGTTCTGACCCGGCTGCAGCTCCAATGACCTGCAGGGTTCTGTGTGAGCTCGGATAAACCCGGACTGTCTGGACTTGGGTCACGTGGCGCCAGATGTGTGGTTCTTGTCATCAGCTCTAACTGGTCCCAGTTTGGGTCACATTTCTGGTTCGGAACCAGACAAGTTGTTATCCGTTCAATCCTCGTGTGCACGACCCACAGAGCCCGACCCGGTACTGGCTGGACTAAACCATGCGTGTGAAGTTGTAGACCAGAACCAGAACTCTCATGGGTCTGGTTATGTTCCACTGACGTCCCCTGCAGCAGCACCAGCAGCTCATCAGTCGACCCGGTTGGGTCTCAGAACGGGCCGCTCCTGGTTTGGACCGTAAAGACTTTAGAAGACTGATGGTTCTGAAAAGGCACAAAGGTCACGATAAGTCCGCCCGGACCGTCAGACCACCAGAACCTTCAGATGTAAACGAAAACGATTGTTCTGTGGGGAACCTGGACCGGGTCGTTCAGAGGGGATTTGGTTCTGATGAAGTCCGAACTTTAACGTTCCGTGAAACTCAGGAGGATCATTTTATCTGTCATCGCTTGATCTTCCTGAATCTGCAGAACTCCCTGCACACCTGTGGATGACCTCTGACCTCCCCCCACACACACACCTGGCACAGGTAAGGACCTGTGATGACCCCTGACCCCCCCACCTGGCACAGGTGAGGTTAAGTGCTGCTTGTTTGTGTTCTCGGCTGATGGAACTTTATTAAACATTTGAATAAACTTTATTTGTACGACCCTCGGGATCAGCCACATCATTACGACCGGCTGCGGAGCGCCGTCTCCCTCTCCAGCCAGCGAACTCGTACTTTCTGTTTGTAGTGATACTCCTTCAGGAAGTCCTGCAGGGCGGGGGGCAGCGGCAGGGAGCCGATGCCGTCGTACGTGGTCCGGCGGCAGATGGCGGCTCGCGCCAGGTGCTGCAGGGCGAAGGGGAAGGTCCGGTGGAGCGGCACCGTGAGCAGCGGCTCGAAGAACATGCAGGCGCTCGGGTCCTTGTAGTGCTCCAGCAGTCCGGTGACGGTGGAGGAGTGGAAGACGCACGGGTCGTGGGCGTCGAAGCTGAAGTTGTGGTTCCACTGCTCGATGCGGGCGTGCAACGAGCGGTTGTAGCGGCGGAAGCTGACGGAGAACAGGTAGTCCTCCTGGGCCGAGTCCCGCAGCAGGAAGGTGCCCTCGGGGCGTCCGTCCAGCAGAGACTCGGCCTCGTAGCGGTCCATCACGCCCCAGTAGCAGGGCAGCGCGGTGATGTGGAGCAGGTCCGGCACCAGGCAGTGGATGTAGTCGATCTGGGTGTGGACCTTCCAGGGTCCGGGCCGGCTTAGGTGGGCCTCCCCGGAGGCGTGTCTCTGTTTGGACCTGCGGGCCTGCAGACACAGGGTGGTGGAGTCCTCCTCAGAGTCACAGTCCTGGGACGGTGCCGGCGCTGGTCCGCAGGCCCCAGAGGACGCAGCAGCCAGAGAACTGGTGGGAGTCCAGGTCTCCCCCGAGGCCTCCATGCCAGGAGCCATCTTTGGTCCCAGTTTGTGGAGCGGGCCCGGCGCCGAGGCCTCCAGGGTGTGGATCTGAGCGTTGGGCGGCGGGTCCACGCCTTCCTCGATGCTGAGCCGGCGCCGCTCGCGGAGACGCTCCTCCTCATCCTCGGGGGAGGGCTGGGCAGAGTCAAAGGCGTCCAGCAGGGCGGTGGAGGAATGCGGGCTAACCGGCGCCGTGTGCTGCTTGATCAGGTGCCACTTGTGGGCCAGGTCCGAGCCCGGCGGGAAGGGACAGGTCTCCAGCAGGAGCTCCGTCAGGTGGATCTTCCGTCGGGAGCTCGTTGGGTTCTTGGAGCGTCTGCGAACAGGAAGTGGTAAGCACAACCCGACGGCGTCACTGAGGCGCTGCCGTAGGGAGCGAGGGTTCAGAACCCGGCCTGCAGAACCCGGGTCGTTGATCTCCTGGATGGAGCCGACCCCATGATGCCGGTCTCTGCGGGTCCCACACCCCCTCAGGCGTCCGTGCCGCTCCTCCAAAGAGCTCTGGGTTTTGGTGGAACACGAGTGTTTCTTCTTGCCCCCCCATGGAGCGTGGCGGGAGTAGGAGTCTCTGCGGGCCAGGCCCCCAGAACCCCCCCGCACATCCTCAGAGTCCTTGTCCACGGAGACCTCCACGATCTGCGGGACATCCGTTACACAGTTATGATGGCGGCGCCCTCCTGGTACCGCTGGCACCGGTGAGATGCTCCATGATGGACTGGAAGGTCCGGGTCCTTGGACCTCACCTGAACCCAGATCCAGCACGCAGTGGACTGCATCCGAGTCCACCCTGGACTCACTGGACCATGAAGGCTGGAAGAGGGTCTGGCATCGGCTCTTCAGGCTGCTCCACATGTCCTCCTCCAACGGCCCGTCGGACCTGACAACAGAACCAGACACAAGTTAGGCATCAGACGGACAAACAGCGGGCCCTGGTGATGACACGAGGGGAGGGGAACCGGGCCAGGAGGCCGGGCTGGTCCCATGAGCAGATTTAGGAGTTGCCAGGCAGACGTGGAGACCCGAGGCTAAAAACGACCCGGATCTGCTGCCATGTACAAAACCAGACTGGACCCGACCAGAACCGCTGCCTTTGACCACACACACACCCACACAAGC